CCCCTGCCCCGCCGGACCCCCCGGTACGGCCGAAGCGGCGGCGGCTCCCCCGGCTCCGCCGGCCCCGGCCCCCTCGGCGGCGGGCGGCGGGATGGCGGCCAAACCGGGCGAGCTGCTGGGGGTGTGCTCCAGCTACCAGGCCGTGATGCCCCACTTCGTCTGCGTCACCCAGGACTTCTCCCCCCCGGCCCGCCCCGTCAAAACCCCCAAGGGCAAACTGCGACGACCCCGGCAATCCCGCTTCAAGACTCAACCGGTCACCTTCGACGAGATCCAAGAGGTGGAGGAGGAAGGGGTGTCCCCCATGGAGGAGGAGAAGGCCAAGAAGTCCTTCCTGCAGTCCTTGGAGTGCCTGAGGAGGAGCACCCAAAACCTCAGCCTCCAGCGGGACCGGCTGGGGAGCTGCCGCCTCCGCAACAGCCTGGACTCCAGTGACTCGGACTCGGCCCTTTGAGGGCGATGGGGGCTCGGGGGGGACACCCCCAAATGGGGGGGACCCGGGGGGACCCGGCGGTGACAGGGACTGGGGCTGCGGGGAGCCCCCCCGGGGGCCGGCAGCCGGGTGGTGATGTTTTCTAAGAAAGCGCTTGTACCTTCGTTTCTATTTTGATTGTACGAAACTTTCCGTTTAAAAAGACAAAAAAGAAGAGAGGAAAAAAAAAAACAAAACAACTATCTTTTTCTATTCGTTAGAAGAAATGAGCTGTTTTAGACGCATCGAGCTGCTGGACTTGATATTTATTTTTGCATTTAAACTGTTTGACCGCATTAATTTAATATGTTTCTACCTGGATGTCTGTTATTATTTCCATAAGAGAGTAATAAAATGGGATATATTTGCACAGTACCTATGGGGCTGTCCTTCTTTCGGCGGGGGGGGATGTGGGGGGGTCTGACTGTCCTCTCTCAGCTCCCTTACCCCTTTGAGGGCTGCAGGGATCTAAAGGCAGTTGACAGCAGTAAATTCTTTCCTCGGGGACGCTGCTGGGAGCGGTTTTGCGGTCCCTGCCCTCAGGTACGAGCAAAATGAAACAAGAACTAAGTCAGACTGATTTTTACACAACTTTATTTCTTTCTTCGAGACCTCTGTGTTAACCCGAATAGATGTTTGAAGGAAAATTTATAACCCGTTGTGGAGGA